TCCTCCTCCTCCTCCTCCTTCCCCTCCCCCTCCCCCTCTCCCTCCTCCCGCACACCCCTCGTCGGGGACCGCAAACTGGACTTGTGCACAGCACCCCCAGTTCAGAGGTCTTGCAGAACAGCGCTGGGTGCCGGGAGAGGTTTGGGAGGGGACGGCGTGTGCTCATGAGACCAAGGAAATGAGCCCAGGAACTCCCCAGGTTCCCACTGCGCTGCCAGCGATCGGCGCTGGCAGCTGGGGCTTCGGGATTTTCGATCCTCGATCGCGTCGGTCGGTCGGTCGCCCCGCCCTTCTCCTCCCGCCAGCAGCAAGTTTCCGCCCTTGCCTCCCGCCCAGCGTTTCCTGCAGCAGGGAATGCTCCAGGGCCCCCCGGTGCGGAGCTCCTGGGTTCGTTTCCGCCCGCAGTGCTGCTTGGTCGGGCGTGGGAGCTCTGTTGCGCGGATGCCTGGAGCTGGGAACGCGGTGCTCTCGTGCGCTCGGCTTGCCCCTCTTCGGCCCGCGGGAGAGGAGAGCGCGCCGCCCGCGTCGCTGCCGCGGCGCCGGCCGCGGGGGCCTCCGGCCGCGGCTTCGTGAGCCCGCCGAGGTCGGCAAAGTTGGATGCTGGCTTGCGTCCTGGAGTTGCTAGGCCCATGCCCAGGCCCTCCTCCTCCTCCTCCTCCTCCTCCTCTTCCTCCTCCTCCTCCTCCTCCTCCTCCTCCTCCTCCTCCTCCTCCTCCTCCTCTAGCGTCGTTTCCTTGCGAGCGCCCGCCCGCGAAGGCGACCAGGAGTGGCCATCTGGGGCTTGTTTTCCCTTCGGCATGTGCCGGGGTCTGCGGCTCGCAGGCCGCAGGGGGTTTACGCGGTTAGGAAGAGGGCCCCTGAGACGGCCGCGCTGTTTTGTGAGTTATTGCTCAGGGATGGGAAAAAGGCCAGACCCATGCATCAGGGTCGGTCTGGACACTCGCGGGAGACGAGGCTGTCTGAGGCCGTCCAGCAGCCGATGGCTAGGGCGGTGGTGGCCCCGCAACAACGGCACCAAGGCATGGGCCGCACCATCCCATTCGCCATGCAAGGCAATTACAGTATGATTCACGAGCGGACTGACGGCCATCCCAGAGGTTCCAGGCGCATGTGCGGGGAGGACAGGCGAGCTGCCGGGATCGAGGGGAGACTCGGCGATGCGGCCAGCCTTTGGGGGGGGGGGCTGCCGCGGGGGTCTCCGCGGGCCCCGCGCCCCCCGCGATCGAGACGGGTCGAGCTGTCCTGTAGCCGACATGCCAGGAGCGGCCTCCCCTTGCCCGGCTGAGTCATCCTCGGCCGATCGTTCTTGCAAAAGGTGCACTCGACGCTGAGGGGCAGCGGGCCCGCCCCGGTGGCGCGCCAGCCACCCCCAGCTGCCGCCGCTCGCCGCCCGCGTCAAGCCCGGCGGCGCCCGCCAGGACCAGCGCGCGCCAGCCCCCGCTGGCGCGCGCCCCGCGCGCGCGCCCCGCGCGCGCGCCCCGCTCGAGAGATCAACGAGTCCTGCCAGGGCCTGGGGGCCGACCTCCGCGCGGACACGACCTCCAGCCTTCCAGCTGGGGTCCGAGTAGATGGGGTCGGAGGATCGCGCCGCATCGCCGATGCATCGCCGATGCGTCGCCGATGCGTCGCCGATGCGTCTCGGCGTGGAGCCAGATTCTCTCCGCGCCGACGTCGGCGCTGCATCGTCGACGTCGACGAAGCATCACCGATGCATCGGCGATGCGGCGTGATCATCCAGACTCATCCGCTCGGACCCCAACTTGGCGGCCACTATCAGCCGCGGGGGGAGAAAAAGCAGCCCGGGCGGTTGAGTCGAAGGCCGCGGACTTTCTGGAAGAGCTGGGGATCGCCAGGGCCAGCGCGCACCTCCGAGCAGAGGAAAATCACGAGAGGCCTGCAGACATAACGTGCATGGACCAACGCTTGGCGGACGTCGACGCGCACCTGAGCTTGCAGCGCAAAAGGAGGTTGAGGGCGCGAAGCGGGGCCCCCAGCTCCTGGGCCTGCGCCTTCGGGCGCCCCAGCCGCCAGCTGCCCTGGCCGGCGCGTCGGGGGCGCGGATTGCGGGTGGGCCACGAAGGATTTGCGTCGGAGGAGCCGATGCCGACCTCATCGATTTCGCAGAGCTCAGGGCGCTTTGCGCGCGCTGCAACTTGATGGCAGGCCGCCTCCTGGCAGGTCTCATCAGGGGCCTCCAGAGAAGGAGGGCTGATCGGCCGCATCATGTGGACGGGCGCCCTCGGCGCGAAGGGGGAGCGGGCCCCCGGGGCGGCGCGGGCGAGCGTGAACTGGTAGAGGCCGCGCGCGGCGAGGGCGGCGCAAGGCTCGCCCGCCGCGATCGCAGCCGCCAAATCAACGTCAAGGGCGCGATGATGCTGATGCGCCCTCTCGGCGAAGTGAAGCGGGCCTCGCGCGAGGCGGGCCCCACCGCCCACTGGCGGCAGAGCGCGGCGACGGACGCGGGGGCTAAGGGCCGCCTGTTGAAACCCAGATTCGAGACGCTTGAACCCCCCGCCCTGAGCATCCGAGGAAGTGGCGGATCGGCCGCGGCGCTCCTGGCCGCCGTCGAGGGCCTGCCGCGCGAGGACGGGGCCCTCGCGGGCCGACCGCGCCAGGCGCCGGCGCATGCCGCGGGCGTTTTCCCTGGGCCCCGGGCCGGTCGTTTTCGCTTTTGTTTTCGTCGCTGCCCTGGCGAGGGCCCCTGGGCATGCTCGGCGTCGAAGAATCGGATTCGACATTCGAGGATGATTGCGCGCGAATTTGGCGGGGGGTTCTGCCGGGCGATAGCTGGGGGCTCGCGGAGAGCGCGCCCTGCCAGTTTCCTCTCGGCGACGGCGTCGAGGACCAGCTCGCCGAGGGCGTCGCTCAGGAGATGCATTCCCCCAGGTGCCGTGATTTCGTGTCCCGCGCCCTCGCGCCTCAAGTCGCTCCAGTGCACCCCGCTGCTTGCACGACCGACGCCTGCTCGCCGGCGCCCGCGGGCCAGAAAAGTTTCGGCATCGCGCGGCCCCGGGGGCCTGCGCGCTGCTGAGTTCGAGCCGCGGCAAACGCGGCCTGCGCGATAATGGGGCGCGCGGGGCACGGTGGCCCTGCCCGGGCTCGGGCGCGGCGCCCCCGCCTTCCGCGACCGGGTCGGGGAGTCGCGGCGCGCGCGCCCGCCGGGCAGGGCCCGGAGATCTGCCCCGCCGCGGGCGCGTCGCGCTGCGATTCCGCGCCGCTGGACAGCGCGCCCCGTCGCTGGGGCGGGGGGCTGACCATAGGTGGCCACGGGGCGCACTGCCGCGGCGAATCCTCGGCGCCAGCGGACGGCGAGGGGCCGGCGACCAGGCGAGCGCGCCTGGAGTTTTGGCGTCGCCAGCTCGTCTCTAGAAGTGCTCGTTCGCCCAGTCGGTCGGCGGCGCTGCGACTTTCGCGCGACGGCGCGCCGCGAAGCCAACGGGGGGCGACGAGGAGAGGGGCGTCGAGGCGAGAGTTCGGGGCCAGCCTTGGAACCGCTGCGACGCAGAAGCGCAGTCGGGTGGCCTGGCTACAAATTTTGGAGCGCTCAGCATCGGGCGCCAGGAGGTCTCGCGCAGGAGGCGCGAGACCCGACAAATGTGAGAATGGCCCAGTCGTTTCGGTCGAGTTCCAGGCCCCGGCTCGCGCGCGGGCCCTCGTGCTCGAGATGCGGTTTGGAGGGGGGTGGGGGCGGGCGGTTGTCTGGCCCCCGGGCGCCCCCCCCGCCGCCCCCGTCGGGCGGCGCCATAGATTTTTCGTCGCGCGCGCGAGGCTCGCCCTCCTGTGCTCGCGCCGCGCGAGGTGGAACTCGTCGCCCGTTGAGATCCCGGGCGAGTTTGCACTGTTGACTGCTGCGACACTTCGGCATGATTAGTGTTGCCTTCTCCCCGTGAAGGTCTGAATGGGGATGTCCGGCCTTTGCTCGCGATGCGGCGCCGAAAGAGATGCTCGCGCAGTGCAGCGCCTACTGTCGGTTTTGCTTCGCTCCGTTCCCAGAGAGAGCCCCCGCCCATTCCTCGCGCCTCGCCGGTTCGTCGCGCGCGGTCATCGCCCGAGCAAAGAGCTGCGAGCGAGCATGGCCCCCCCCGTGGACAGCGCTTGACAGGGGCAAGTGTCTTGCCCCACTGCGTGCGATCGGATTCCTTGTGACAGGCAGTGCCTCAGCATCGGCTCCGGCCTTTCGTCGCGAAGGGCGCTTGGGAGGTCGGGGGTGGGGGGTCGGCGAACGGGCGTGGGAAGGGCGGGCAGGCACCGGGCATGCACTTCATAGTCCCGCAGCGCTCGGATAACGGGAGGGGCGCGCGCGACTTCTCGGCGCGTCCTGGCGGCGATGCGACGTCGAATCGCGAGTCAATTAGTTGCCCGTGCCCTGCGACAGGCTTGCTTAGTCGGCAAGCGCGGGCGGGTCTCGCCGCCGCGCTGATCTCGCTCCACGAGGAGCCGCGTTTTCGAATGGCCATGATGGGAGGGGTGGCTGGCCAATGCGCAGGGCGCGGGGCCCGCGCGCGCGCGAACCTTGACTGCTGGACTTCGCGCGAGTGTGGCCGCGGAGGACGGGGCCAGGAAAGGCCGGGAAATCTGTGGGGAGAGGGGGGTGGGTTTCCAGTTTGCCCCCGCCCGCCCCGCGCTTGTCTCGCGGTCGGACAACGTCGTCGCGCTTGCGATCGTTGGGGAAACGTCCGAGGGGGCGCCTGCCTGGCGGGTTGTTGGGCTTCGCGCCGCGCGCAAAGTTCATGTCGAGCCGTCTTCGAAGATTGCGGAGCGCGCTACTCCGACGGCGTGCCGACGGCGCGGGCGGCGGCGGCCTCGGAAGGGCGCGGGCCATGACGGCGCCCGCGCGAATATTGTTCTCGATGGTTTTGGCGATTGGGTCGAATAGCGACGACTTCGACAGAAGTCGGGGAACGCCCGACAAGCGCAGGCAAAAGTTGCGTTCTTTGCGCAACAGTATCATCTAGACTAGACACGCAAGCGCATCGCGAAATTCGGCTCGACCGCGATTGGAAGGGCGCAACATGTGCCAGGATGCGACGCGGATGCCGCGGTTGACTTCCCGCGCGTTCCTGCGGCGGGTGCTCGCATTGAAAAGGGGGCTGTCGCGCGTTCGATGGCCCCTCGCGCGCCTCCACTCCGCCCTCTCGCGCCCCCCTGCCCCGCGCCCCGCCGTCGGGGGCGCCGGGGCTTTCTGCGTCGCTTGTCGAGCACGGGGCGCAGACCGAGTTTCGAGTCAGAGCCGCCGGCGAATTCGTTCGCAGCGAGATGTTCGCGCGCCCACTCCGCGAGGGGCAAGGGAGTTCGCCGGGGCAGCGGGCGGGCCGAGAGGTTCATCCGGGAGGGTTCCAGACGCAGTTCAGGCCCATGCCGAGAGACGCCCTGCTCGCCTCCAGGGCCCCTAGGGTTTCCTAGGTTTCGATGGCAATGCCGCGGGCAGCTCGGCGTTCCCGCGCTATGAAACAACGGCAGCCCGGGGGTCTCAGGGTTGGGTTTCTCGCGGGGGGGTTCTTCTGGATTGGCCTCCGCTGCGTCGCCGGCTTCTGCGCTCCCTCCCCATCCGCCCCTTGTCTCACTCTGGCGGCGGAGGTAAGGCATCTGCGCGCTGAGCTCTCGCTTCCATCAGTGAGCTCGTGGATTCGTCGTTGGGGGGCGCCTCGTTCGCTCGCTCACTCCTCGGCCCTC